CAGGAAATGTTGGGGAACGATTGGCTGACAAATCATCTAGACTTTCGGTATGCATCCTGACCAGTACCATGACAACTGCCAGTGGTGTGGAAAACCGAAAGAAGATCACATTGGTGAAAAGAAGTTTTGCCCGGTGAAGCCCATCATTTCCTCAGGGAACGATTGGCTGACGAACAGTCTAGACTTGGGAACTGGATAACGATGGCATCTGCAAACGGTGTGGAATACCCGAGGAAGATCACATTGGTGATAAGACGTTTTGCCCGGTGAAGCCCATCATTCCCTTAGAGATCGGTTAGACTGACGTGCATCTTTGCAATTTGATCGCTCTTTCGCTCGGATGGATTGTCGATTGGGCTGGATAGGCGGTAAGTGACGCAAATGAAATATGCGCTCAGAGATCCAGTAGACTGACATGTATTCTTGCACAATCTTATTGCATATTGTTCGGGCGGTATCTGGTCTGGACAGCCAGTAAGTTGCATATGATACAATGCGCTCAGGGAACGGTCAGGCTGACATGGATTTTGTGTTTTCGATGGGCTATTGCTGGGATGGACTGTGGATGCTGGTGGATAGCATGTAAGTAACGAATGATGCTGATGACGCGGTCAGGGAACGAGTAGACTGACATGCATGTTGCAAATCGTATCGATGATTCCTCGGATGCTACGTGGATGATGCTTGATAGTGGGTAAGTGACGCTTACGAAACATGCTGTGCTTAGGGAGTGATTGGCTGACATGTATTTTTCTATTTTCATCGCTTAATGTTCGAATGGATGGAATGGGTCTGCATAGACGGTAAGTAACGATTATGAAATGTTCGCTCAGAGAACGATTGACTGACACTTCATCTTGCAATCTCTTGTGTTTCTGCTTGAATGGTCTGGGATAGTTTGTAAGTAACGAATGCAATTGATGCGGCACAAAGATGATTTGTACTGACATGTTTTCTTGTCTCCCTTTCCGATGGCCGTGACTTACATCGTCAGTGCTGTGTAAGCATTGCATGATTACTCAGTGTCTATGATGTTCTTCTGACCTTGTGTTGTTGCATGTTCTGGTGAAAACAACCAATGCAGAATGTAAGTTGTACAGATCGCGAGAGATCATCGTAGACCTGTCGCTGGATGTGATGATTGACTTCAGTTCTCAGTGTGCCAAGTCTGTAGGTTGGGGGTATTACGACAAGGTGCTTCATTGTACTTGTGATGAGTAACTTGACGGATGGTGTCGGTAGTACGGATGCAGCCATTGCAAGTCCGAATGAAGGAGCAGCTGGAGACGAAGGAGAGGGAGAATCACAACACACTCGTCAGAGAGTGCAGCACTACCTTGATTGGGTCACTCGTAGCCAGCGATGTGCTCTGTACTCCTACAACTGTAGGATATGCTGTGTTTCTTATATACAACTCCGCGCAGTAAGATTGTGACCCGTGTCACACGGTTCAAGGAATGGATAGAGTGCACAAGGCTTTATACACTCTCACAACAACAACACAGAGGCTACTAACAGCTTTTCATCTTCAAGCTGTCTTGCACATATAATGTCCTTCTACCTCAGTCCACGAGGACTTTGCGCAGTGGGAGAAAAAGGAAAGGGACGAGCGGGAGCGGCAAAGATGAGCAGGAACGTGTGTTTGATAATCCATCGCAGGAAAGTATTGACTCACGGTACTGCTCAAGCCTTCAACCGGTTTCCTTGCCCTTGAGCCACTGAGCGAGCAAAACAAACGCCAGCTGACTGGATTTAATGATTGCTGAAACTGAACCTCAAGTGAAACTTCGGCGCCGCTGATGCTAGCAATCCCTCGGTACTGAGCTAGTTCACCGGGGCGGGCCGGGTTGGTTGCCCGACGGTGACGGTTCACTGTTGAACATCATCACCGTTCCGTGGCCCGGCGGCGGCGGCGCCGGGCGGGCGCCGGGCCGGGCCGCCCGACGGGCAGCCGCGGGACTGACCCCTGGGGGGCGGGTTGCCCGGCCACCTGACCGGAAAGTTAACTAAGCCGAGTCACGTTAAGTTATACTACAGTTGAAACAGTGAAAGATAGCCACTCGCGACACGACTCCCGGGACTCCGGGTGAGGTGTGACTGGCAGTCCGCGGCCAGGCCCACTGTACAGTCCGACTCATCCGGGCCGCGCCGCCGCCTTCACGCTGCCAGGCTGGTCGGGCCGATTCCCGCCGTATAGCTTGTATATAAAGGCTGTATTCGTAAGTGCAGCAAGCTCTCATAGCGCAGTTGGTAGCGCGTCGCTCTGATAAGGCGAAGGTCATCGGTTCGAGCCCGGTTGAGAGCACGCGGAGCTTAATCTTTTTGTCGGTCCACCCTTCTTTTTTTGCGTAATCCAGATTATGTGCCAATTTGTATCCTGTTCTCTTGTTGAAATTTGAAATTTTGGCCGTATCCTTGGAACCAGGTAAAAACATCGGTGGGAAACTAGCGGACCTCGGGGGGGTGGGGTGGAATGGTTTGTGGCAAAGGGTGGCCGATTCCGTCAAAGGGTGGGTATTTGTAGGAAATATGGGGGGTACTTTAGTGGGATCCATTTTTATTAATTTTTTTTTGCTCACGATTTGTAACATGACGGGTGCTTGGTCTTACTACCCTTGAGGGGGTAGTCATGGGGTCAGAACCTACCCCAATACCCCATCGTTCTTGAGAGTTACACCCACCACGGGTACTCAAAACCAGATATTGGAGGGGTGATAATGAACAGAAACTGTCATATGGAAGGTCATCGAAGGGGTGGGGTAGGTCAAGGGCTCCTAGAGACTTCCACAGCAGGTTAAAAGTAATATAACACGGTTATAATTGTTTTGTTTTCGTTCCCCACCTCACCCAGCCCCCAACTCACCACCCCCTCCACCTAAGTACCCCCCCCCTTCCCCCAAATTTCACCCCCTTCCCCCCCTTCTCCTTCACACGAGTATGTTTAAAAGCTGTTTTTTCCCACCCCTATGGCCTTCAGTATAAGTACCTACCCTACCCCCTCTACCACATGATTTTCACTACTGTCTACTACCCCTCGATTTCCCTTTAACACCCTTGAAAACTCCGTAGGCTCTACTGCAAAGAGACTAACTACCCACCCCATAAGACCGATTCCCACCCCCTACATACTCTTGAACAGGTGAAGAAGATATTCTTTACCACCGGTCTTTTCTATAGCATTTCCACCAGGTTTGGACCCCATCTTCAACCATGTCACTACCCCTACCTACTATTTTAACTTCCCACCTACCTGACGTTGAAATTTAGTACCCCACCCCCCCGGAGTGCCGGAGCACGTACCGCGAGCAGTGATCAGTTCGTCACGGTTTAACCCCACCCTCAGGTGACCTTTTTGATCCGACGTGACCACCCCTTCTTTCATGGCTTTCTACCCCACTGGACTGCACAAGTGTGACTACCCCTACCCTGAATATGACTTAGAAAGGGACCCTAACCCCCACTTGTGACTGTTCTACTACCCCTCGATCCTCCTCCTCCTCCTCCTCCTCCTCCTCCTCCTCTCCTCCTCCTCCTCCTCTGCCATATCTGGTGTTTTTATCATCATCCCATCCTTTTAATCTTATATTCCTCTTCTTGTAATTTCCTCCTGTTCCTCGTCCCCACATTTCACTTCCTTTGTCTGCACCTTCCCATCCGCTCCCCCGCTCTGATTCCCCGCCCTTGTTGCTCGCATCCTTGCGACGTGTACTCGTCTCTCCACTCAATCCAACTTCCTATATACCAACCGCCTTGCCCTTCCGTCCCACTGATCAAAGCTTGAGCACAGAGTGGATTAACTGTTCCAGCAACTTGGTAGGACCCCGGTTGGCTTAGACCCATCAGCTAATACCCTTCTCGACATCAGTCTGCAGTTCCATTCTTGAGAAGGAATCTTGAGCGCTCCAGCGTCTCTTCCTACAGAGTGAACGTTGTGTGATGTACAGACTTGGTTAACAAGTGTCGCACATGATCGATCTCGACTTGGATCCTCGGGTAGGGTTACAGCAGACCATGGATTCTGGCTGCTTCAGCGTCGAGCATGACACGTCCAAGTGCTCGAGGGACTGTGAAGATATATTGGACTGGTACAAGCGGCTGGTGGACCAGGAGTGCACCCTCGACTCTAGGCTTCTTGGGTTCAGAGAAGGCTTCCACAGGGTTCCCGACACCAGCGTGTTCTTCTGCTCTAGATCAGGCCTTGCGGCTCTCAGTCGAAGGCTCTTTCAGTTCATTCTGATCATCTTCGCTGCCATGACAGGGCACAATCTGCTGAATCTCGTCAAGCGCATGTCTAACGGAGAGCTGCAGACGTATCGACATTACAACTTTACAGTGATCGAGTGCAGGAGCCGTGCGTTGGACCCCGAGTTTCTCCCTCACATCTCAAGTTTTGGTATGTTGCGCGATGGCAAGGACAGGAGATTTGCCTCTGTGAAGAAGGAGGTAGTGTCTGAGATGTATGTGAGAAACGGGAGCATGATCGTTTCCTACCTGGAGGCCGTCGACACTAACGGCTTCTATTTTGTCACCTCGACCTCAGACCCCGAATGGGACCCGGTTCGTTTCATGGTGTACGGATCTAACGATCTGGTGAGCTGGAAGCATATCGGCTCATCAAGTTGGCACTTCAATATCTTCGATTTCTCCTTCACCCTGCACAACGGTCACTTCGACACCGCCATGGAGCGATCGAGAGTGCACACCTTTGATATGAGGACTCCACAGCCCGAGGCCTTCCTGTTGGTGACGATCTGCGTCATCAAGACGTTAGGGTTGTGCATGGCGGCTCTGTTCGGAATGATGAACAAGGAGATCATAGGGAAGTACGCGCTGGTGTGCGCTTTTGGCATCAACACTGTCTTGAACCTGGCCTGCGCATACTTAGACCAGGAGAACAGGATCATGCTAGTCATGTCAACCTTGTTCTGTGCGGCGCATATGATCATCTGGACAGCGGAACGTAGGCTGATTGAGTCATACGGGATTCTGTTCGGCTTGGGAGCCGCATACGGCCTGGTGACGGGGGGGCCGAACCAGTCGGTGGACATGGAGCAGATTTTCATCGGTCTCATCTTGATCATCGTCATCTACGCTAACCGCTACCGCATTATCTCTGGGAGCAGACGGCTGGTGCACAACGACAGGTGGAGGTACGACATGGCGTGGAAGTCCCTGCTGGACGATGCGGAAGAATCGCAGCACCTGAGTGAGCTAGCCGGCCTTGTCAGCAAGATCGAGCTTACCTGCCCTTCCGGCATAGTAAGGCATACCTCCATCAACTCACGAGAAGGAGGGGAGGAGTCTTACGTGCCCGTCAAGTCGCTGGATCAGCTCTACGTGCAGGCTGTGTGCATGGACCACATCCTCCGCGCCAAGTCTCAGGCATGGGCGAACTCGTCGGAGGGTTACTTCCCGTCCATGGACAGCTCGGCGTCGGAGGGGAAGGGCAAGTCTTACATCTCCTGGAGGGAGTGCGCGAGCTCTGGCAACGAGCAGACGCAAGTGAAGTGGGCGAGGTTGAAGAGTGTGTCGAGGGCGATCGAGAAGATCGGGCGCTGCTACGGGGGGGAGGTGTCGTACCTACTGGACATCTGCCGGCAGGCAATCATCTTCGACAACACAAGCAGCCTCATCAAGTGCCTTGCTGCGATCCACTCGGACCCCGACACGACCGTCCTGCGTGTGAAGAACAGGCTCGACCTGCTCTACGACGCGAGCATCAGTGCTGGTTATCGTGACGTGCTCGTCAACCTCACGATCCGGACAGACGAGACGTTCGACTTGGGGATCGCAGGGCTCGTCTGTGAGGTGCAGCTGAGGCTGAAGCGCTTCGATGAGCTCAGCAGCGACGAGGGGCACAAGCGGTATGTCATCTGGAGAAACATGCGCGCACAGTAGGTGGGAGGGGAGGAGGTGGAGGATAGCGATAAGATGGAAGGAGGTGGGAGACGATAATTAAGATGGAAGGAGGTGGGAGAGCCGATGGAAAGATTTATAACATTCAGGAGAAATATTACTGTGCGTCCTCTTGCAACTTTTTCTCTCGTTTCTCCTTCCCTCCTCCTGCCTTGTATCCCTTCTCCTCTTCATCAACCCTCCCCTCCCGTTCTCCCTCCCTCGTCTCTCTTCCTCCCTTCTCAATCCCTATCACAAGAATTCGATGTCATCCATATTGAACATCGCAGCCTGCGCAATCGTCTCAACGGCACTCTTGCTGAGAGAGCACGCAGCACCTGCCCAACGTATGGCTTGCTCCTGTCAGCTTCTTCATGCACATTCCAGACTACCACGTCCTTGATCCTGCATTGCTTCAAGCTCACGGAGAGGACAGAGGAGAGAGGGGGGAAGAGAAGAGGAGAGTGGAGAGAGGGGGGAAGAGGAGAGGAGAGACGGGAGGGAGGAAAGAGAAGCGAGAGGAAAGCGTGAGGGATGGGAGACAAAGAAGAAGGGAGGAAAGGACGAGGAGGAGCGGATAAGGAGGAGGAAGATGTGCGTTAGCAGAGGAGGCTGGAAGGCTTCATTGGTACCTGAACCTTTTTCCCGTCGACGAGATTCGTATGCCCGAGTAGTTGTCGCAGTAGCCCTGCACGCCCAGCCCAAGTCATCCTGCCGCTGGTGGAAGAGGAGGGAGCGAGGAGGTGATGGAAAGGGAGGAGGCAGAAGAGGAGGAAGAGAGGGAGAAGGAGGAGCAGGAGAGAGCAGGGAGGAGCAGGAGAGAGCAGGGAGGAGAGGAGGAGGAGAGGAGGAGGAGAGGAGGAGGAGGAGAGGAGGAGGAGGAGGAGGAGACGA